TAACAACATTTAAAAAGTAGCTGCTTTAAATTAATTGTCAGGCAATTCTAATATCTTTGTCATTTCAGTGTTGGCATTTATTGGTAGTCTTATTAAGTTCTGATATTTCTCATTATAGTTACAAATGAATTTCCATTGAAACCCAGACATTTAAGGTATTAACCAATGAGATTCTAGATCTTATTTAAATATTCTGCTTGATCTGGTGTCCCTCTGCCATGCCTTCTGCAGAGGAAGGAATGCAGTGCCTCAATTTTGTCATGTTAGTTGGAAGCCCAGTTCCTTACTTGGCCTCTATTGACAATTGAGGATGCAGGCCTCCTGTGACTACTCAGTGGGTATTGCAGCTCTGGTTCCCCACTAGGCTTGTGCTGATAGCACCTTGGCTGGGAAGGACAGAGGACCTGCATTATTCCTCCTAACATGACTTTCTTTCACTGAAACTGCAATGGGGTAGCCACATTACTGCTGAGTGGTGGGGAAAGTTCTAACTCTACATGAGGCCTCTTCTGATACCATCCTAGCAGACATACTAAAGACAATAAGATAAAAAGAATCAACTATTACCAATAGACTGGATGCTTTTACTTTTTAAGTCAAGTTGTTGTTGTTAGGTGCCATAGAGTCGGTACCAACTCATAGCGACCCTCTGCACAGCAGAACAAAACGCTGCCCGATCCTGGGCCAACCTCACTACTTGTTGTTGTTGTTGTTAAGTGCCTCACTACTAGGTATCATCAAATTATTAAATTCAACATTAAAAATCATTTATGGTAAAATCTTAAGAACCTTAAGTCCTAATGGCATGGCAACATTGTTTTTATAATTACTATCATTATTATTATTCCTTACATTATACCTTTTAAAGGACTTTTATGTTTTCCCAATATACTGTGACACAAGTTGAATGTTATCTACTAGCAACAGTCCATAGGATGCTAATAATGGCAGCACCATTTTCTTTAGAATGGCTTATTAGTTCGTTTTAACCTTGAACCCATCCAAAGAAATTTACTTAAAAAGTATCAAATGAACTTCAATAAGAAGCAGTCATATCAATAGCACAATATGCACCTTAACTTTTGCCTGGGTGTCATGAACACTACCCTCCACGAAACACAAACACACATAATCATATCACATTTTGTCTATAATGTCAAAGGGTGCACATATCCTTGAAGCCATCCACAGACCCTAGGCTAATTATTTTTTACAGATGTAAAGGGTAAAGCACATTTATACTTTCATATTACAACCTTATTTTGTTTTTAATTGAAGATAATCTTTTTGGTATAGATTAAAATTTTAATTTTTAAAATATGGCTATTTTATTTTCTTATTAGTCATATAATGTCTTATGCTATTATGTTAAATTACACTGTCAACGCCAGGGCTCCTCTGTCTGATGTACTTCCTTTAAAACATGTTGGGACATGGCTTGTAGCTTCCTGGGGTCAGTTTTTAATGTTCCAAGAGGGTCACTATGAGCTGGAACCGGCCGGCCAGCACTCAACAGCAGCAATAGTTAGTCTACAGGAAGATGGATACTGTGTGTGTCAGGTGCCAATTTCTGCATCTGCCCACTAGGTCATGTGGCTAAGACTGTGGCTTCTCCAGATCCCTACAGGATCTGTGTCTGCTGCTGGTACTGAAGGATAAGCACTGAACTTCAAATGGCAAGGTTGGCAGTTCAAACCCACCAGCCTCGCCTTGGGAGAAAGATGAGGCTTTCTGCTCCTATAGAGTTAGTCTCACAAGTCCTAGAGAGTCACTATGAATTGGCATTGATTCAGTGGCAGTAGGTTTGGGTTTTCTATCACACTGACTGAACTAGCTAAGTTGGAATCTCTATTCTGGGGACTTACAGTTTTTATTCTTCAGTCTTGTAATTTTTCTTTTAAGTATTTTGCATGTATTTAAATTTTTATGGTGACCGGACCCTTTTAATACTAGGAATGTTTTTTACTTTAAAGTCTGTTTTGTCTGATATGAATACCTTTATATCAACTTTCTTTTGGTTAGATCTCTAGTCATCCTTTAATGCAACCTTTTAGAATCCTTATGTTTGAGTTGTATCTCTTGTAAATAGCAGATAGTTAGACTTTATTTTCATCAAATCTGTTACTCTTTGTTCTTACCTGGAATATTTGCCCCATTTGTAGATTTCTAATGTAGTCTGGCGCTATAGAATAAGCACTGGACTGCCAGCCACAAGGTCAGTGGTTCAGATCTACCAGCTGTTATTCAGAAACCCTTTAAAAGGTTGCTACGAGTCAGAACCAACTCCAAGACACTTAGCAACAACAACGTATTTATTGAAATTAACTAATAAGTTAGATTTTATTTAGCTGATTGTTTTGACTATGAGATCCTTGTGTGGTTAACCTAATAGTTTTATATGGCTGAACTATTTACATTTAAGTAATCACTGATGTAGCTGAGATTGCATATGTCATTCTCTGTGTTTCTGGGTTTCTTATTATCTGTCTCATTTTTTGGGTTGATTGCAAAAAAAAAAAAAAATTACACTGTCAAACTATATTATGTTAAAGCATATCATTCTCATAAGTAGTATGTCACTATGCATTTGCTAATTTGAAAGTTTATGTCCAAGAAAGTAGATCAATGAATTTTCAAATTTTAGCATGAGCAATCAAATGTATTTTAATACAAAGTATTATTAGGGGTAATACTTTTTCCAACATTCTAATCTTAGTTAAGTATATTCATTTCCTAGGGCTTGCATAACGAAGTACTAGAAGGCTTATAAGAAATTTATAGACTTAGAGTTTTGATGTCTAGTAGTCAAAAGTCAAGGTATCTAAGACCCAAGTTCTTTCCAGACTCCTGGAGAAGATCTTTTCTTTTCCTGCTCAGTTTCTCATAGCCCATAGTGTTATCTATTTTGCAATTGAGCAGAACTCCCTTACCACATGGCCATCTTCAGTCTGTCTGTCTTGCAGTAATGTCCTTCTCTTTTATCGGACACCATTCAGATTGGATTAGAATCCATCCTACTCTAGTATGGCCTCACATAAACTGATAACTTCTTCAAAGATTCCATTTTCAAAAGGGTCATGTTCACAAGTACCAAGGATTAGGACTTCAACATAAAGCTTGAGGACACCCAATTTGATCCAGCACACCAGAAAGACAGGAACTTCTTTTCATCTCATTATGCTAGAACCTTTCCTTCTTCCATTTGCTCCTCTCCCTGAGGGAGAAAACATGGCTGATACAGTTGGACAAAGCCTAACAATCTTTGTTCCTGATTTATTGTTGTGTGCTTAGAGTTTGTTTCAACTAATAGCAACTTTATAGGACAAAGTGGAACTGTCCTATAGGGTTTCCAAGGTTGTAATCTTTACAAAAACAGATTGCCACACTTTTCTTCTGCTGTGCAGCTGGTGAGTTTGAATGACTGACTTTTCGATTAGCAGTCAACCACTGTGTCACCAAGGTACCTCATAATTTACTCAAACCCAAGTTTCTGCACTTTAAAATTCACGTAGGCCATTCTTCCTTCCTTTGGTTCTTTTAGTCTGTGTGTAGTAAACAAAGTTGGTGGGATTTCCACAGTCTAATTCTAGTTCATGCTTTCAACCATGGTGGTTGTGGTAGTGGTGTGCTGTGGAGTCACTTCTGATCCATAGCAACCCTGTGCAGTATTTCCGAGGCTGTAAATATTTACAGGAGCAGAACATCTCATCTTTCTCCCAAACAGCGGATGGTAGACTCTTAACTGCAGTCCAACACATAATCTACTATGTTACCAGGGTTCCTAATGACTATGTCGTTAAACCCTATCTTCTTAATCAAGGCAGCTTGATCAAGAAGTTTCAGAGCATGCTTTATGGGCCAGTGTTTGTTTTTCATTATGGCATATTGAGATTTTTTAAACTGCCAGAATTAGTATTTCAAGCAAAGATTTACACTGAGGATTGAGAGGGAAGCATTAGGATTAGGCAAGCTTTGAAGCAGATATTCTTTTAAAAAATTTAAGACATCATGAGAACTGAAAAAGCTGATGATGAGATACTGTTTTAGTAAGTAACACACAGCAGGACTTACTGGATCTCTGAGAACAAAGGTTTGGGAAGTGTGAAAGAAGGAACTGTAAAGAGCTCAGGAAAGCCAGGAACTGAACAGAGAGATACAGACCTTTCCCATCCACTTCATGAAGGCAGTTTTTTAAACCATGATAAAAAAAAAAGCAAGTGTTTGCTCAGTTATAAAATTCTTTTTATAAAAGGAAGTAACACATTGAAAGTACCAGATGATTGTCTGATTGCCCCTTGAAGTATCTTTGTAGCATTCTCAGCACAAGACTGATTGATTACACACTGTAAGCATTCCAGAAAAGCTTATCAAGTTAGGAGATTAAGGTTTGGAGGAGTGCATAGTTATAAAATGAGTGAAGAATGTCTCTGAATTTTGTTAAATGCAAGAAAATACAAAATCAGATCCATTCATATAGTTCAATTTCAACTCAGATTATAACTTGAAAGGAAATTCATATTTCTATGACATTCTAAATCTATACATACTGACACAAAGTAAGGAAAGCTTGACTTCCTCCAATTAACTATATTTAGTACTACCTCTAAATGTGTCAATGTGGTATGAGACAAGAACATGAAATGAGCATAAAGTAATTAGAAAATAATCTTAATAGAATATAATCTATAGTATATTTAAATGAAAACAAGTAAACTACTGCCTAGGTTAAGTGTAGGTAAGTGTTCCAGTTAGCTCAGCAAGACTTTTTAAACATTTCAAAAATTTTCATAGGCATTTTCTCAAATTTTAGGTTTTATATTCTTAGATTTGTGGCTTAGATGTCAACAGACTTCCTGATGTCATTCTTATGTTTTCCAGATATGCCAGTACTAATCATCAAGATCTTTAGCTTCTATTAATATAATTTTCATTACCCTCTCCAACAAACACAAAAGCAAAAACAAACAAATAAATAACAACAAATAAAGCAATGCACTTACCAGCTCCACTGATTATATCAGGTTTGGTCTTCATTATTTTGCAAAACTGTTTTCGGCAGTTTTCTATCCACTCAGTTTGTTTATCAAAAATTTTGAAGCGTAATAATAGCTTGCTAAGCTCATTATCTGATGAAGAAATATAGTATGTTACATTATTATAAAAGGACATGATACATATACTGAGAAATGTCTTAATATCAAGTATGATAACTGTTACAAATTCCAGAAAACGTATAAAATGCACTTTGCTTTGCTTTCCAAGGAAAACATTTTTTTTCTGTAATTGCAGTTTGTATCTTCAATTCCAAGACAAATCTACCTTGCAAGAGGTATAGCCAGAATGTACCCTAGAATCAGGGATGGCTAGAGTTCGCCTCACATATTTTGGACATGATATCTAGAGGAACCAGTCCTTGGAGAAGAACATCATGCTTAATAAAGCTTTGGTCAGTGAAAAAAAGGAAGGCCTCCAACCAGATGGATTGACACAGTGGCTACAACAACAGGCTCAAACGTCGTGACCACGGTTCAAATGGCACAGATGAGGCACTGTTTTGTTCTCTTGTACACAGCGCTGCTGTGAGCCAGGAACAACTCAATGACATCTAACAATAGCCACACATTTTATTGCTATTTGCCACATTTAGGAAAAGCTCATTAAACAAATTATTTGTAACCATACTTCTTGAATTTTCTTTTTCTTGTATAAACATGAACTATTACTGAGAATCTGGTTTGAAAAACGGTGATAAACCTTAAGATTTTATATATACATATATATTTATGTATACACATAAAAGATTTAATACATATGTACATATGTGTATAAGATTATATAGATATGGATACTTTTATATGTGTGTGTGTGAGAAAGAGTTTTAGTGTGGCACTGTGGGTTAACGCGCTGACTTGTAAAGTAAGTTTGAACCACAAAGTCAGCGGTTCAAGCTCACCAGCTGCTCCTCAGAAACCCCAGACAGATTCTCTATGGGTCAAAACCAATTTGATGGCAGCGTAGTGGTTATGAGTTGGGCTGCTAACCTCAAGGTCAGCAGTTCAAAATTACTAGCCATTCTGTAGGATAAAGATGAGGCTTTCTGCTCCTGTAAAGATTTACAGCCTTGGAAAACCTATATAGGGTAACTATGAGTCTAAATCGACTCCAGGGCACATTACCACCACACCATATACATATATATATGTGCAAATTTATTATTGCACTTTAGGTGATAGTTTACACAATAAATGAGGTTCCCATTTAATCATTTTTATACAAATTTTTCAACATTAGTCATAATTTTTATAATGTTTCATCATTCTCATTATTTCCATTCTGTTTGTCATGTTTTCAGTGATCAATTTCCCCTGTCCCTCTTTGCCTTCGTATTTTTGCATTTGTGCAAACGTTGACTGTTTGTTCTGTATAGTTGATTGTTTAATGGACACATTACTCACAGATGGTATTGTTTATTCTACAAGCTTATCTGTTATGTAGATGAAAGGTGATCTCCAGGAGCCAACTCCAAAGAGTATCTTAGAGCGATAGTCTGCAGGTTTTCTCTAGTCTCCACAGTCCAGTAGGTTTAGCCTTTTTTAGGAATATGAGTTTTGTTCTACAATTTTCTTCCATTCTGTCTGGGACCTTCTGTTGTATCCCTTCTATTATGGTTCTAATCTGAATGATCAGTAGTGGTAGTTGGGCACCATCTCATTCTTCTGGTCTCAGGATGGATGAGATTGTGATTCATATGGACAGTACTATGGACTCGTTTCTTCTTTGAATTTTAGGTTTCCCTCACTCTTTCGCTCCAGACAAGTAGAAGATAATACGTGTATCTTAGATGGTCTCTCTCAAGCTTCTAAGACTAGATGCTACTCACCAAACTAGGGTATAAAATTAGTGTCTTTATAAACTATGTTATGCCAATTGAATATATTGTCCCAAAAGACTATGGTTGCAAGCCTTATAACACTGTAAACTAATCTTACAAGTTGTTTGGATATGCCTAGTATATCTCCAAGGAGCTCTGGTAGTATAGTGGTTACGAGTCGGGCTGCAAATCTCAAGGTCAGCAGTTCAAAGCTACCAGCCATTACTTGCCCAGTGAATGGGGCTTCCTGTGGAGTCTTTGCATTGCATAAGATCATAGGTGGAATCCTGATCCCCATCCAGAATCTTCTTAGGTGGGAAATTTCCACTTGAAAGAAAGACCAACAGGAAAAATAAAAAACAGTAACAGCAGTCTGATTGACTACTACAAGAACAAGCAAGTTGTTCCCCCAGGAGCCATCAAGGCAAGTGGTCAGGTCCTCTCAAGGCAAAGTCACTTGCAAGACTAAAACTCAAGGTGAATACATGAGCAGGTATGTGGTCTGGCTGCTGACCACATTGGTCACCGACAAGGGGAAGTGGAGTAAAAATAGCAATGACATTGTGAGTAAGTCTGACCACATTCAATAGACCCCTGTTAATCTGGATTGATACCTGGTTGGCCAGCAGTATGCCAAGACTTGGGGACTCCTGGGCCCAGGGACAGGGACATGGCCCCAGAGGACTAGAATGGAATGTGAAGCCTCCAGCTGATATGAAGTGAGGGGAGATGCACAAGAACTCCCAAACTTGCAGATAATACCCATTTGACCTGGCTTCAATGGCTGAATGATCAGACAACGGCTAAAGGAAGAAAGAAGAGGGGAAAAAGAGTAATCCACTATAATTAGATGAACTTGACCTACGCTTGTGGATGCAGTATGGCAAAGAAGTGAACAAATCTTTACAGTGAGAATCATTACCACCCCGTTGGTACACAGGGTCAACAAGATGAGTAACTTAGACACTGGCTACCCAAAATGGGGGGGCCTACAAAGGCAAGAAGTAACTGGCTTACAAGCTTTCAATAGGGAACCTAGTTTCAGAGGGTACAGGGAAAGGTAGAATCTCCATTGAGTTGTTTTCAACGTGTCTGGATGAGTCTGATAAAAGGGGATGGGGATAAGACTCTTATGGTTCAATAGGGAATGATTGCTATCAGGACTAACTGTGAGTGTTGGAAAGGTAAAGGTAGATGTTTTGTAACAAATGGAGGGGAGTGATTGATTTTGCAGTCCAGGAGCAGAGGTCCCTGGAACCATCAAGGGAGAAAAGCGAAGTATGGGACCTCACCAGAGATGGAGACAGAGATGATGGCATGGAGAGAAGGAGCGGCTGGAGAATCAGGGAAGGAGAGGGGCTGTGTGGCTGGGGGGGCAGGCGTGCGGGGTGTACCCTTTGATTGTTTGATGATGCATTCAGGGATTGTAATCATTGCAGTAAAATGAAATATGATAGGATGAATGTAAAGATAATGTTCTCCCATGTAAACTATCACATAATTCACAATAAAAACTTTAAAAA